CAGGAGAGAGAAGACAGGAGGCAACGAGATGAGAGAGAGCAAGAGAGAGAGAGAGAGAGAGAGAGAGAGAGAGAGAGAGAGAGAGAGAGAGAGAGAGAAGACGAGAGAGAGAGAGCGAGAGAGAGAGAGAGAGAGAGAGAGAGAGAGAGAGAGAGAGAGAGAGAGATGAGAGAGAGAGAGAGAGAGAGAGAGAGAGAGAGAGAGAGAGAGAGATGGCCTGCTTACAAAACAGCAGACGACTAAACGCAAAATATTTAAAGTATAATATACTTTTACTGTTAAACGTCTATATAGAAGAAGCTCAACCTACCTGGATAGCACGCGTCCCCAACTCTAAGGTCTTCGTTTATAATGTTGAATTTGAAGGGGTGGTTCAATGTCGCCGTATACCACTAAAAGCATTGTAACTTTCACACGACACTGAACGCGTCATAGCAGGCCTTAATCTTAGAGCCTGTGTGAATCATATGTGAGCCTCGATCATTTGGAGACGGGTATTAGGGCATAACACCCTGTACGGCAGCTTCAAACCAAACCGCTAATCCCAACTATGTAGAATATTACACCCGGTGACTGAACTGCCCTGTGCATACACGATATTGGCACATGAAACTCTAGCGTAAGCTGCTTGTTCATGATAATATAACATCGTTATATATGTTATAAGAGGGGGGAACGGGGGGGGCGGTGGCTACATTTCCCACTTTCCCAGCCAAAACACACCATATCCCAGTTCCCAGTAAAATAAAACCCCAATTCCCAGTTCCCAGGAAATTATGTAGACATGTTTCAGGAAATTCAGTAGTTTAGGTTTTCAAACACTACATAAATACTAATATTTACATACTATTATTTATCTGGGGTCTACATAAATCGAATTAACGCAGAATAAATAAAAATAAAAAATAAAAAAACTAAATAAAAATATTAGCGCAGAAATTGAAATCCCGACGAATTGACACAATTTTCCCAGATCCCAGACAATTTTAGAGGGTCTTTCCCACGTCCCGATGGACTTCTGTTCCCGAATCACGGAAAATTGATCTGACATTTCCCAGTTCCCAGGTAAATAAAATGGCCAATCCCGCGTCCCGAAAATACCCGTTCCCCCCCCCCTCTTATAACCGTCTAAATAACCCTGTTTACAATGCTGTGCAGTCGTTTCATGCTTTTTATTTGACCTGAAGCCTCTTACAGGACAGAAGAGTTAGAATTTCTATACTGTTTGCTTAACTTATGTTAACTACGACTATATTTCTAATCGACATACAACAGTATACATGTGCATCTTACAAGTAGCAAGAACGTTTATATATCAGCTCCCGTCTTGTTTCAGTGACCTAACCTTAACTTTACCTCAAAAATAGTAAAAACGTATTAAGTCGCTGCCAACTGCCAACAATCGACCCTAGGCAGCAAATAGAGAAGGCATAACCAACTTTGAGCTGTTGTGCATCAAGATACACACGTTCCTCTCACGATAGCATCTTCATTTCTCTTGTTCTCTCGTATTATTCGTCCAAGGTTGAAATCATATAGTTGCCAAATGGCAAATATAATAATAAGTTTGCAACAACGCAATCCTTACTAGCAATTCGATAAGAAGCTAATTCCAATATATTTTGCTAAAGAACTGTAAATTTAACTGTTAAACTTCATTCTAATTAGCCCGGTTAATATGTTAGACTAGGATTAAACGCTAAACAGACTTATGACGTGCGTAGATTGCACGAATTCACTAATGAGCTCCACTCTAATGATTTTATGGTACACGTCGGAAATTATATTTTTAATAAATCATTTATTTTTATTATGCAAATTATATCTGATCCCTATAAAAGCTACTATGTTGAATAGTATTCCTAGTAGATATACGATTGACAATGGATCCAGCGATATGTAAAGAGTAACCGATCAAAACGGTGCGTACTGACATCATTGGGGTGATATATATCATCAATCAATAATCTGACCGATAAGTATTGATACCTGGAACATAACAGTGACACAACATCAGATATCCTGATTCATAAACAGTCGTATCGAGCACGCAAATAGCTCCATAACAGACGTTCCATAGCTTCTTGCTATCATGCGAACGACTGCTCCAGGAGCAGGCCTTTCGAAATCCAGCCAGGAAGGAGTACTGGACAGAAGCATGCGAGGCCAGCTTCACATCACTGGCCCACGGCTAGTTCGCTACTCTGTGTCTGGTCTCCACTCACCCGATGCCGGACAAACTGCTATGTATAGCAAGTGAATATGAATAATGGATGTGAAACGCTAGAGATAATTGCCGTTGACTGTTACATCGTTTTGCGTGATTAATCTGGACAGTACGACAGCATACTGTAATGGCTGGGTTAGAGGCACTGCACCCTGCCATACGGGGAGAGATCGATAGTGACACAAGACATTAGAGGGACCCTGATTGAAAGTTACTGTGCAATTGATTTAGTTATTAGTGGTGTGTTTAAACAGGCATCTTGGAATCGCGTCGAGGGTCAGTCATGTATTGTACATGCACGGTTCACACATATCACCACACACATATCACACACGGACCGCCGGCGTGATTTTTTTCAAAAAGGAAAAAATATCACGCTGGCCGGACCGGCTCAGCCGCCCTGCTCCGCCGCCCTGCGGAATTAGAAAATACTCGCTTGGGGAGTACCCGTTTGGGGAGTTTTAAGTATGTAACCTACCTGAAATGGCTGGAAATGGCATATACACCCCCATGCAGACCCCCCTAGAAGCGAACGCCTCCGGCGCTCGTTCGTCTGTGGTTCGTCTTGCCCCCCCCCCACACACATTAATTCTTAGCTACGGCCCTGGATTCAGAGGATTCAGGTAATTTCTAAAAAAAAAATTCTTCTGATTTATGGGATTTTTTTCGGAAGTTATATCGGCCGGGGGCCTCTGATTCGGTAAAAGG